GAATCTAGATCCCTGTGTCTGGACTGTGTGAGCGCACTGTGCTGTTCATGGGCTACGAGAATCTAGATCCCTGTGTCTGGACTGTGTGAGTGCACTGTGCTAGATCGCTGTTGTATTGCCTCACTCGTGTGCCCTTTCTCCCCTGCCCAGGCATGTGCATGGGGGAGCCATCGCCACCATTATCGACAATGTGACGGGCGCCTGTGCCACCTACATCTCCGGGTTCGTCTTGACCGCCAACCTCAACATCAACTACTGCAGGTACGGCCGGGAGACGCCGGCGTCTTCCCAGCCCGGGCTGTGCTGAACGGCGCCGGGCTGTGCTCTTGTCCTGCGCCGTCCTGCGCTGGGCTGTCTGGTGCTGTACGCTTGTCTTGCTCAGTTACTCAGTGCTGGGCCCATCCTAGCTGTTTGGAGGCCCTGGGGAAGATCTCAGAAAGGGGCACCTCCAGATCACTATTTGCAAAGACACCCTGTTGTCAGCTAACACTATGAACCTTATTTTACTATTTAGAGCAATTCAAATAAATTCATGGTATACATAGAAAACTTTTATTAACCAGCTTTGAAGAACACATAATAAGTAACTTACAAACTGGAAGAAGAAGCACAATGTTTTTATAAAGATGTATTTTAACATTGAAAGTAATAAGAACATAAATACCGATAAATGGGATATGTCACTAAAACAATTCTAGCAAATCATAACATACATATTACTGCATTGAAACATCTGTTCTGTACTTGTATGGATCTGAAAACTATAATAAAGTACCAATGATTTTTGACAAACTCTCTGCCTGTGCCCATGGCTGGCCCTGCTACAGTGTAGCTCCTTGATTGGGTAGTTGACAGTGCGCTGGAGGAGTGTGTGTCCACTCGCCCTGCTGCTCTGTGCAGTAGCGCCGTGCGCCTGACCTCTCTGGTGTTCTCCTGTAGCCCCATCTCTCTGGGCTCGGTGGTTCTGGTCGACTGTGCTGTGGATCGGGTCGAGGGCCGCAAGACCTGGGTCTCCTGCCGGATCACCAGCGCCGACGGCTCCAAACTGCACACAGAGGCCACAGGTCTGTGACTCCTGAGCACGGCTCAGCACAGC